AGAATTCAGTATAAAAATAGTTTAGGGTTTGGTGTATCGGACTTAAAGAAAGAACAATAATAAAATAATATTCTGGGGGTGATCTTTTTAGTAAATTAAGATAGGATTACTGGATTGTAATTTGGGTGAGGAAAGTGCTATTAATATTTCTCTATTATGGAGGGTCTGGCATCCTTTTCCACTTACCTTTTGTGCAGAATGCCTACTTTGACTGAGATGTGAGCCGCCTTGTATCTCCAGGAGATTAGTTAGGATAGAGCCAGCCATGGTCAGAGTGATAGAGTCGGAAGCCTGTGCTAAGTCTCTGTAATTCTCACTGGAGCGACCACAGGCCTAATGTTCTACCCAAGCTCTTGTGTGTCCAGTTGCATGTGTCCAAGTACGCTGTCACTCTCCATGCATGAAGCCGTGATATAATGTATGTCCAATTAATAATAATGCTAACATTTTCCCATTTGGGAGCCAGTTAATAAAACATTGTGCAGTTACAAACTTAGGTTTAGCATAATTATGCTATGAATTTGATCAAATTCATTTTTTATTACATCAACATGGTTCTCCTTTCTCAGGAAGTAACACTAAAGCCAGAAAAAGAAAAATGGAACTCTCCAGTTCTGAAAAGCAGGAAGATTCTTGTCTCTGAAACAACCCTCTCAGGTTTTAAGCAATTACTCACACAGCATTTATCATGGAATAAGCTTAGTAACTATAAAATAGTGTCATGAAAACACAAGAAAAGAGAGCTTGACTTAAATCTATGAAGAAAAATAGTAAAATTGCCCTTGAACCTATTACAGGCTGGAGCTGACACTATTGACCAAACCATGTTTATTACACATTACGTTTGAGAAAAACACTATAGGAGGTGATGGGAGGGGGATGTCAATTTGTAAAAGGATAACTAGACTGGATGCAGCATTCTGTGGTTTCAGTTCCATTATTGGAAAGAAGATTGCAAAACCAAAACAAACACCAACTACCCAGTGACTATTTGTTAGGTTGTTGGCCCTTAGATGGCCCTGGACTGAAGTGATATTTTTTAATTTACTTTACTTTATTTTATTTTATTTTTTAATTTTATTTCTCATTTCTTTAACCATTACCTGAGGACATGTTCACCAATATTAGAGAGAGAGGAAGGGAGAAAGAGAGAAACAGCTATGTGAGAGAGAAACATCTACTGGTTGCCTTCTCTACGTACCCTGACCTGACATCGAACTCTCAACCTTTTGGAACATAAGACAATGCTCCAACCACCTGAACCAGCTGGCCAGGGCTGAAGTGGTATTTTAAACAATACAATTCCAAGTTTACTCACAAGACATGATAGCTCCTTAGATTTTATTGTATTGAAATGTAATAAGTAAATGAATCAGATGGAGATAGAGTCTCATACCATACAGCAATGTGAACAATGGACTACATTTACAATAACAGTCCCATAAGATTATAATGGAGCTGAAGTTCCTCTAACAAATGGAAGCATTTGTTGTCCTGGGGAATTTTTTCTCTAACGGAAGTATTATCTATGGGGCTTGACAATAAATTTCCTCTCACTCCCAGCACCACAATTTTGAGTACACAGATGACATCCCAATACATTGTCCACTGTACCTTTTATATGTTTAGATATACTTAGGTAAACAAACACCATTGTGCTATAATTGCCTACAGTGATCAGCATAGTAACAGCTGCACAGTCTTGCAGCCCAGGAGCAACAGGCTGCATGCAGTCCAGGTGCACAGTATGCTGTCCTGTCTGGGTGTGAGTAAATGCCTCTGTTATGCTCACACAGTAATTAAATCTCTGAATGACACATTTTCCAGAATAAAACTTCATTGTTAACTGACACATGACTGCATGAAATGAGAAAATTTCAAGTTTTCACCAGATATACCATTACATATTCATTGCTGTAGTTGCTTATTTAACACCGTGCCTGAATTTTGAACTCTTTACTACAAGAGGGCAAATTGGAGATGCTTTAGTGTTGTTGCTTAATTTAAGCATAAGAAGACAAACCAGAAATTTTAAAAGAAAATGACATGTATGACAGAAGTCACTTAACTATAGATGACTGAACTGGGCAAAGAACACAGGGCTCCTCCTTCTAAGTTCAGTGCTTTCTGGTGATACTGTCCTCTGAAGCTGCTGTGGTGGACTGTCCAACCTCACCCATCTGAGAATCATCTGTGCCCACATACATACAGGACACCGAGGATGATCCACAGGCTCCTTATCTGTATCACTATTGTCTACATCATGCTTCTCCCTGGGCCTGAGCTTTGGCTTCCTTAGTCCATCCTAATGCAGCCCCTATGGCATCAGAGCTCTTTCCTCCTACTTCTCACAATCAGTACACAAAGGGTTCTCAGCCCCCAGAGCAATGAACTTGGCCATTTGCATCACGGGAGTGTTGACAGGAATCTTTAGCCACTGCAGCTTCTAATGCTTATGCTTTCTTGTTTGTTTGTTTTTCCTGTCACATTCCAGAACTATTCTACATGAAAGAGTGAACCTAAATGGAACATAATTAGAGAGTCAAGGCTGGATTTAAGGCAAGAGTGATTCAGGGTCATCTATAGAACTAGCAGAGAGACCATAAGCAGGTGGTGGAAAGAAGAGAAGAGCCAAGGGAAGCAGAGGCCCAGACAGCTCACTTCTCTAGTCCATCTGACAAAACCTGGGAAACACAGAATGGGAGGATGGATGTGTGTGTGTGTGTGTGTGTGTGTATGTGTGTGTATGTGTGTGTGTATGTGTGTGTGTTGAGAGGGGTAGTCACGTGCATGTGTATTTTATTTTAGGTGTGATTATTTTGCTCTTTTAAATAAATAATCACGAAAGCATTTCAAACCTGATTTACATGGAATAAAATAGTGTGATTTCCCATTTGGGAATGAAGACACTTCAATCTTTTATAAATGCTGTGTATCTTTTCTGATGACAGCCCTCGAAGAAATGCAGGGGCAATTATGTCTGGTTACAAACAATACATCTTTAATTTTACTCCTAAATTGTCCATGTGCAAAATAATGGGTTTTTCTTACTTTCCTTTTCTGTAAGTGATCTAAAAGTTGGACATACTTTTCTATAAGCACAACCAATAGTTATTTAAATCAACTTTTATCCATTAGAAATGTGAAAACAATTATCTGATTAAACCAGTAACAGAAAAGAAAAAATGAAGTACTGGATTTGATTCTTCTCCGCCATTGTTAGCCTCATAAAAGGTCAAGGATCAGGAGATAATCATAGTTAAGAATTGTTATTAACCTTTGCAGTTCTTCCAAAGCTCAGGGTTTCTCCATTTCTTGAATTTAATTCCATTTGTTGACCTTGTTTTTAATACAAGAAACAGCCCTTTGACATGGAGGCAGTTTCAGAGCTTTGAAAATTATTGAAGTACGGGGAGACTTGAATCAGCATTCACATATTTATTAGTGTCAGGCCAACTTGAGTAATTAAATATGGATGCAATTGCTCACTCGACATTGCACAAGTGGGTAACATTACAGTCTATACAATTAGAAGAGAGTTTCTAGTTTTTCTTGTTCTTTGGTTAAATGTGGGCCAAATAAAGTCATTCAATTACATCAATTTGCTTTTTCCCCTTGTCATGTGATTTCAAACACAATGGTGGAGACCGCTTTGTTCAGTCCTCATCAAGTTGAACTAAAGAGTGGTTTTAACCATTTATGTTGAAGTTACAGTTGAATTTTTATTAACTAGAAAGAGTTAGGTACTTGTTGATGCCCACAGAATGACATTTTTCTTCTTAGCCATGTGAAAGCTTAGTGTACCCTTCTCATTGGTCTAGTGGACCTTGAAGAATCACTTTCAAGGTATCATGGCAGAAGATTGAAGAGTAATATTTATCAACATTAAATAGACACTTGGTGAAGTATGCATAAATATTTCTTCATATAAACATAACACAAAATTAAATAGTTCAGAAACACAGACACCACTGAGCACAGGTCCACTGTTGTCAAAGTCACCTGTAAACACCAGCTCACACTGAATACAAAAGCAGCTTCTACCCTGACTCTGGCCATCATGGAGGCCCTGTACAAGGTAAGATTGCTCCTCAGGCACCCCACCCCTTCCCCCCTCCCCACACACAACCCCGGTTAAAGGAAAATAATGGACCCCAACAATTATAGCAGCAAAAAAATGACACTAAGAGCAGTACCCCTCCCCTCCCCCAAATAGAACATTTAGCGTTTTGGTCAATTCAGAGGACAAGATAAAATAATTTTTAAAAAAACTTTTAAAAAGTCAACTTGAAGCATAACTTTTCAAAGTGTAATTCTTTCTTCACAGAACATGCAGCTTCCTAAGCCCCACCTACTAGGTGAAAGTCACAAGATAAAGATCAGGAAGCACTGACCAGAGCTAAGTAACAGAGGTGTGAGTTTTTCACTTAGAAGATGCCAGGTAGCAAGAAATTAAATGCCAGGTTCTTCTTCATCACCCCTCACAATGTCTTTTTGCTTTGCTATATGGATTACTGTGTATGAATTTTAAACATGATATTACTATTGAGTTGTAAGCAGTTTAGGTAGCAGAAGTTTTCTTTGGACACATTCAGAAATGAACAATCTAATTCACACATGCGGACATGGTTTATTTTTTGAGCTCAGAGAGCCCAATTTGATTTAGCTCTGTTGAGCCTATCAACGAAATGATAGTTTACTCTCAGAGTCTGGTCAAGCCATGGTGCTTGACCTTGATCACAAGGGGGTCCACTGTGCCTAGACCTGCCAGAAGGCATGGACATTCTCCACTGAGCATCCCCAGGGTGGTTTGTCTACAACAGCCCTGGTTTTGAAAACACCACACAGATTTTATTTCACTTTTATGTTGTGTTAGGATCCTAGAGAACTTCAGCTGCCAAAGTACTGAAAGCATATATTGTAGGAATAATTTGCCAGTTAAGTGAGTCCCATTATATTACACATTATGTGTGTGTGTGTATGTGTAGGTGGAGCTCTCTCTCTCTCTCTCACACACACACACACACACACACACACACACATATACTTATATATTTTTATTTGTACAAAAAATGGACTGCACCAAACAGTACTTTGCAGGGAGTAAGAATCAAGTCCGCAAATAGAGTATAACAACACGCCAAAGAGAAGATGAAAAGTTCTATTGGGACAAGACCGTTCAGCTTAGCAATGTATGAAATAATTTCAGAACTGCCAATTCACTAATCTGACCTGTTCTGAAGAGAAATCTGAATCAGCACTTTTGGGATCCTTGTAAAAAACGTGGCATCTAGGGCAGCTAGTTATGCTTATCTGAATTAATAATGGAAATTAAAAGAACTACACAGATCAATTTAGGTGTATAATTGCTATGAAATATTTTTCCTCTTTAAGAAAAAACACTTAAAGTTTATTTCAGAATAAATTTCTTTATATTCAGTAATATGGGTTTTTTTGCTGAATTGCTAAATTGCTATTTGCCTTTTTATATTAAAATGGGTTTATCCAATGGTTCAGTAAACAGGCAGCTTCTTTCACATCTGGCTGATAGGAACATTTTTATCATCACCAGAAATCACCCATTCCTCCTGACTCCCTGCTAAGGTTTGTGGGTTGATGTGTGCATTTGGTCACTGATATTGACAAGACCTCATTCTACAAGTCCTGCTCAGGCACACGCTTGTGAAAAATCACTGACTGTCTTTGCTGGTACTGCTGCTTGCGCCTCTTCCTTTTGTCACATTGGCATAGCAGCAGCATCTTGAAAGTGGTTCTGAATGTTTTGTTACACAGGGCATAGCACACGGGGTTCACGGTGCTGTTGATGTAGCACAGCCAGTAGCCCAGATTCCAATAGGTTTTGGGTATACAGCTGTCACAAAAGGTGTTCACCAGAACCATAATATTGTAGGGGGTCCAGGTGATGATGAAGGCAAGCAAGATGGCGCTGAGGGTCTGGGCTGCTTTCTTTTCCTTGATCAGTGACATCCGTTTTCGCTTAGTGATCTGACTTCTGGTCTTCAGAGCAAACCTCTTGGCCAGGGTGGCTTCCTTGAAGGATAGAGGTAGAGTGGCCGTGGTCTTATCCACTGAGGAGTTGATGTCAGAGGTCTTGGCTGTGTCCACGGCTGACTCTAACTGGATGGGGAGCTTGGAGAAGCTTTTTTGAAAACTGCCTTCATCATCCACGCTCCTCCGGGCCTGCAGTTTGCTGGCCTTTCTCTCCAAGTCCACTGTCCCCAGCTCTTCATTGGGCATCTGCAGGTTATCAGATGAGGGTAATTTGGTGGAGTTGAGGATGGTGCTGTGACCTGGAAGCTTGAGCACAATGGAGTAGATGGCTCTTGTCTCTGAGCCAATATCTTCCTCATCAGAGGATGCAGAGTTTTCCAGGGAGGCAGCAGCATCATTGTTATTCCAGCTGTCACTGCTGCTGTGGTCTTGGTCTATGTGCTCAGCACTGGGCTTCCAGCTCTTGGTTGGAAACCAGAAGTTGCAGCAACTGTACTTTCTCCTGGCTGAGCGTTTGATGCTTTGCTGTTGAAGCTCATAGCTGCTGCAGCTTCGAGAACTGCCCGTGGGTTGGACAAAGTTTTCTGTCTCTGCTTCTGTCCCAGAGGCTTGTAGCCCGGCAAGTTCTTTGGTACGTTTTTCAGTTTCCTTATAGATCCTCCAGTATAAAATTGTCATAATGGTGACAGGCATATAAAAGGCGGCAATGGCTGTGCCAAAAGTAATGGTGGGCTCACTAAGGAACTGAATGAAGCACTCCCCTGGGGGCACAGTTCTCTTCCCAACAAAGTACTGCCAGAACAAGATGGCAGGAGCCCAAAGGACAAAGGAGATGACCCAAGCCAGACCTATCATCACACCAGCTCTTTTTGTTGTTCGTTTGGCCCTGTATGTGAGTGGCCTTGTGATGGAAAAGTACCTGTCAAAGCTAATCACCAGAAGATTCATAACTGATGCATTGCTAGCCACATAGTCAATGGAGAGCCAGAGGTCACAGGCCAAGTTCCCTAAAGCCCATCGATTCATGATGATGTAGGTAGTAAACAGATTCATTGAAATGACCCCAATAATCAGATCAGCACAGGCAAGGCTTAAGAGGAAGTAGTTATTGACTGTCTTCAGTTGCTTGTTGACCTTAAATGCCACTATCACTAAGATATTGCCAATGATGGTCACCAGGGCCAGGATACCTGTTAATAATGCAATGAAGACCACTTGCCAGATGGTATGACCTCCCAGAGGGTCACTGATGGCGCCATTTGGAACAGAGAAATTCCCAGCTGCTCGAGAATTGTTGTGACTGCCAGAATGAGTGCCTGTTCCTGGGGGCAGCCCTGAATCTGGGGAGCCCAGTATCCAGAAAGAGCTGATGTTTGGAAACAAAGGTGAAGTTGTATTGTTATTGTGCAAGGTCATTGTGACTCTTTGACATAGTCTGGAGAGAAAAGAGAGAAAAAAGAGTTAGAAAATTTTCTGACTTTGTTTTACTTATTCTTTGCATTACATACTTTAAAAGACACAGAAGACCTATTATAAGATGCTGCTTCTCAGAGAGGCTAAAACATCAAATTCATTCTCTTACTTTAAGGGTGAGAGGTCTAGGAGAGGCAGAGATAGATTCATTCAATGTAGCACAATTGTGCTTCACCCACATTTTCCATATTTCTAAAAATATACCACATATACTTCCACATAATGCTGTTATCAGACAAAATCTTCCTTTTCTTATTTTAAAAAGAGAGAAAATAGTTCATGCTTATATGATACTAAGCCAGCATTGGTGTATCATTATACCACTTGATACATGAAGCATATCCATTTGCATTTTATCCTCCTAACCCATGGTATTTACCTATCACATACTTTAGGTTTTAAGACCATACAGCCATTTAAGCTTCCTTGGAATGAGGAACATGATCCAGGAGTAATGGGAAAAACATGTGTGAATTACTTCACATTATATTATCTCTTTAAACCACAAATAGAAGAAGTAATAAATTGATTCCTTGTAATGCATGTTAACAGTATACAAGGCAGCAATCTTATGCTTGATAACATGAAGAAACTTTACCAGATTGTTCTAAGTTAATGAAACCAGTTTGGATATTTTTAATATATGGAAATAATTTTAGAATCTTTTTGTTTTTCAATTACAGTTAACATACCATATTATATTAGTTTCAGGTGCACAACATAGTGATCAGACTTTTAAATAATTATTGATGGACACTTAAGCTATTTTTATGTCTAGGCTATTGTAAATAATGCTGCAATGAACATCAGGGTGCACACATTCTTTCAAAATATATACCCAGAAGTAGAATTATCAGGTCACAAGGCAGTTCAATTTTTAATTTTTGAGGAACCTCTATAATGTTTTCCATAGTGGCTGAACAAACTTGCATTCACACCAACCATGCATGAGGGTTTACTTTTATCCACAACCTCACCAGCCTCTGTTGTTTATTAATTTATTAGTGATAGCTATTCTGACAGGTAGGAGGTGACATCTCATTGTGGGTTTAATTTGCACTTTTGTAATGATTAGTGAAACAGCATGTTTTCATATGTCTACTGGACATCAGTACGTCACTTTTGGAAAACTGTCTATTCAAATCCTCTGCCCACTTTTTAATTGAGTGGTTTTTTTGATGTTGAGTTATATGAGTTTTTAATACATTTTGGATATTGACCATTTATTGGATGTATCATTGGTGAATACCTTTTCCAACTCACTAGACTGTATTTTTTAATGGTTCCTTGGCTGTGCATTTTCAAAAATTTTGGCATAGTTTTTTTGTGCATTTTTTTGTTTCCCTTGACCAAAGAGATATACCAGAAAAAAATGTTATTAAGATCAATTAAGCCCTGGCTGGTGTGGCTCAGTGGATTGAGCGCAGGCCTGCGAACCAGAGTATCGCGGTTCAATTCCTGGTCATGGCACATGCCTGGGTTGCAGGTCAATTCCCAGCGGGGGACGCATGAGAGGCAACCATACATTGATATTTCTCTCCCTCTCTCCTTCCCTTCCCCTCTAAAGATAAATAAATAAATTCTTTTAAAAAAGATCAATTAAGTCCATTGTTACTTCTCTTTCATTTCTGATTTTAATTGGATCCTCTCTCTTTTTCTTGATGAGTCTAGTTGAAGGTTTATTACTCTTGTTTATTATTTTGAAGAACCAAAACTCATTTTTACTGATTACTTGAATTATTTTTTAAACGATATTTTGTTTATTTCTACTCTAATCCTTATTATTTCCTCCCACTCACTTTGTACTTAGTAGTGGTTATTTTTCTAGTTTCTGTAGGTATAAATTTAATTTTTTTAATTTGAGCTTTATCTTGTTTCTTGAGGTAGACCTGCAATATTATGAATTTGCGTCTTAGGGACTGCTTTTAATTGTCCTATAGAATTTGTATCATGTTTTCCTTTTCATTTGTCTCATTGGATTGTGCTGTCATTTTCGTTTGTCTTAAGGTATCTTTCTATTTTTTCTTTAATCTTATTATTAACCCATTAAGTGTTCAGTAACTTTTTTTTTATCCTCCTTGTATTTGTGTTTTTCAGGGTTTTTTTTTTTTTTTGGTAGTTACTTTCTGGTTTCACACCATTGTCATCAAAGAAGATGCTTGATATGATTTCAATTTTCTTAAATTTATTAAAACATTTTTGTGGATTATCATGTGGTCTATTCTAGAAAATATTTCATGTGCACTTGAAAGTAATGTATATACTGTGGCTTTGGGAAGAAGTGCTTTGAAAATATCAATTAAATCCTAATGTGTTCCACTGTAATTAAAACGCCTGGTACTGGCATAAAAACAGGCACATAGACCAATGGAGCAGAACAGAGAGCCCAGAAATCAACCCAACTCTCTACAGTCAATTAATATTCGACAAAGGGGGCAGTAACATAAAATGGAGTAAAGATAGCCTCTTCAACAAATGGTGTTGGGAGAACTGGACAGCTACATGCAAAAAAATGAAACTTGAGCACAGACTTACACCATACACCAAAATTAATTCAAGGTGGATAAAAGACTTAAATGTAAGTCATAACACCATTAAAGTCCTAGAGGAGAACATTGGCAAGAAAATCTCAGATATTTCACGCAGCAACTTCTTTACTGATATGTCCCCTAGAGTAAGGAATGTGAAGGAAAGAATAAATAAATGGGATCTCATCAAAATAAAAAGCTTCTGCATGGCTAAAGAAAACAGTATTAAATTAGCAAGATGACCAACTGTATGGGAAAACATATTTGCCAATGATACCTCAGACAAAGGTTTAATCTCCAAAATATACAAAGAACTTACACGACTCCACTCTAAGAAGACACCCAATCCAATTAGAAAATGGGAAAAGGACTTGAACAAACACTTCTCCAAGGAGGACATACAAAACATTCAGAGACACATGAAGAGATGCTCAATATCATTAGCTATCAGAGAGATGCAAATTAAAACCACAATGAGATACCACTTTACACCAGTCAGGATGGCTATCATAAACAAAGCAACAAACAACAAATGTTGGAGGGGTTGTGGGGAAAAGGGGTCCTTAGTTCACTGTTGGTGGGAGTGCAGACTGGTACAACCATTATGGAAAACAGTATGGAATTTTCTCAGAAAAATAAAAATCGACCTGCCTTTTGACCCAGCAATTCCACTGCTGGGATTATATCCTAAGAATCCTAAAACATCAATATCCAAGAACCTATGCACCACAATGTTCATAGCAGCACAATTTACAATAGCCAAGAGTTGGAAGCAACCTAGGTGCCCATCAGTAAATGAATGGATCAAAAAATTGTGGTACATATACACAATGGAATTCTATGCAGCAGAGAGAAAGAAGGAGCTCCTACCCTTTGCAACAGCATGGATGGAACTGGAAAGCATTATGCTGAGTGAAATAGGCCAGGTGCTGAAAGACAAATACCATATGATCTCACCTTTAACAGGAAGCTAAACAACAAAACAAACAAGCAAGCAGGAAAAAAAAGACACTGAAATAGAGAACAAGGGGATAGTGACCAGAGGGGAGAAGGAAGGGAAGTTAAGGGGAAAAAGGGGGAGGGATTTGGAGGAACAAATAGGAAGGACACAGGGACGAGAACTAAGGGGGGGGGAGGAAATGGGAGGGAGGTGGGGAGCAAGGGGCGGGGGAGGCTGGGATGGGAAAAATAGACAAAAAACTGTACTTGAAAAATAACTAAATAAAATTTAAAAAAAAGGAAAAAAAATAACTAAATAAAATTAAAAAAAGAAAAAAAATCCTAATGTGTTATTTAAAGCCCCTGTTTACATGTTCAATTTGTGTGGGAGATCTATACATTGATTTCAATGGGGTGTTAAAGTCACCTACTATGCCTATAATCATTCCTTTTATGTCCATCAATACTTGCTTTATATGTTTAGGTGTTCCTATGTTGGGTGTAGAAATGTTTACAAAGATTAATTCCTCTTGTTGGATTGATCTTGTTATCATTATATAATGTCCTTCTTCATCTCTTATTATATAGTCTGTATTTTAAAGTCTATTTTGTCTGATATAAGTATTTCTATATGAGCCTTATTTTGTTTCCATTTGCATGAAATATCTTTTTCCATCTCTTTCATTTCAGTCTGTGTTTGTCTTTTGATTTGAACTGTGCCTCTTGTAAACAGAATATCTTTGGGTCTTGTTTTCTTATCAATTTAGTGACTCTATGTCTTTTAATTGTAATATTTAATCCATTTACACTTAAAGTGATTATTGGTAGTTATGTATTTTTTACATTTTATTATTTATATTTATGTTCCCATTTTCTCTCTTTTTTCTTAAAAAAGGACCCTTTAACATTTCTTATAATACTGATATTTTTAAATGAAGTCCTATAGCTTTTTCTTGTTTGGAAAGCTCCAAATTTTTTATCGAATTTTAAATTATAGCTTTGCTGGGTAGAGTAGTCTTGGTTGTATGTCTTTGCTTTGCATTGTTTTGAATGTTTCTTGCCAATCCATTCTGGTCTGAAAAGTTTCTGTTGAGAAATCTGCTGGAAGTCTTATGGGAACTTTCTAGTAGGTAACTAACTGCTTTTTTCTTGGTGCTTTTAAGATTCTCTCTTGGTCTTTACCCTTTGGCATTTTAATGATAATGTGCCTTGCTGTGGGATTTTTTAGTGCATCTTGTTTGGAACTATCTGCACTTCCTGAACTTGTGAGGTTTTTTTTTTTTTTCCCTTCACCAAGGTAGGAAAATTTTCTGTCATTATTTCTTCATATAGTTTCTGAATCCCTTGCTTTCAGTCTTCTCCTTCTGGTACTCTATAATGTGGATGCTGTTGTGCTTATCACAGAGGACCTTTAAAACATCCTCATTTTTGCTTTTTGTTGTTCTGATTGTTTTCCACTATCTTATCTTCCATATTGCAGATTTGAT